GTCCTGCTCTGGTCAGCCAACAAGGTGTTTGAGGAGCTGACGGACATTGAAAGGCAGTTCCACAAGGCCTTCTACACCGTGCGGGCCTACCTGAACTGTGACCGGTACTCAGTGGGCCTCTTGGACATGACCAAGGAGAAGGTGCGGCCTTAGGCCTTTGGGGGCTCCTCCCCAGCCTGGCCCACTCCGCAGGCCAACCCCTTCTCCTCTCTTCTTTTCTGCCCAGGAATTCTTTGATATATGGCCAGTGCTGATGGGGGAGGCCCAGCCGTACTCGGGCCCACGCACCCCCGACGGCAGGGTGAGTCGGCGGCCAGCGGGCTCCGCCCACAGCCGGGCTTCCAGGCCCACGTCTGTCTGCCATCTTTCCTGCCAGCCAGCCCTGCCCTGGTGTGGGTGGCTTCCCTGCATCTGCTCTCACTTGCTGGGGCTTCTTTAAATCACGGTGACATCTTTCATCTTGAGACCATATATGCTGAGTGGAATATGAGCCTGGTTGGTGTGGGGTTGAATGGGACACAAGAAAGCTGAATCAAAATCTGTGTGCGCAGCATGTGTCCGTGAGCATGGGTGTGGCCTATGTGTACGTGCATGAGTATGAGTATGTGCGTGCGTGTGAGTTTAGGCAACCCATGTGCACATGGTGGGTCAGTCATCTATGCCTGCAATCAGCTACACATCTGAGACCTTGGGTGTGCACCTGAGTTGCTGGCTCTCTTCTCCTTCGGAGGAGACCTGATCAAGGAGCAGGCTGGGGTTCCCATACTGATGTGTTTTGTTTTTCAGGAAATTGTCTTCTACAAAGTCATTGATTACATCCTCCATGGCAAGGAAGACATCAAGGTCATTCCGTAAGTGCCAGGATTTAGAAGCAGCTCACCCTAGTGGCTCCTGTCCAGCCCCTACAGTAGTGGGACCTGGGACTTCTCATGTGAGACGTGGGGAAGAGAGCAGGTAAGGGATTGAGGCTGGGCCTTCAGGCTTCTCAGCTCGCCAGCCCAGTCCTGGGAGGTGGTCTCAAGAAGGCAAGGACAGCAGCACACTCCATGCAGAGCCCAGTCCAGAACTCAGGGCAGGGCTCAGGCCGAGAGGGACTAAGGAAAGGAGTTACCATTCTCTAGCCCCACTGCTGTGTGGCCATTGATGCTGTGATCCTAAACCTCTATCAGGACTCTATCGCAGGCCCACATCGGGCGCAGCCTGAAGGCACGTGGGCCAGGTCTGCAGAACAGTGCCGGCCCTGAAGTCCCAGAGGGTCTGTGGCAGGGAGCAGACCTGGCAGGGGAGGCCCCAGCATGATGAAGTGGGCAGGACCTCAAGCCAGCCTTCTCCTGTCTTAGCAGCCTTCCAGCCCCACCCTGCCACCTCCGCCTGGGTCCAGAGAAGGGAGTGCAGTGGTCACACACTACCACGTCTAAAACCAAGTGCTTATCCCTCTGACCTCTGTTTCTCCCCCTCAGCACACCCCCGGCAGATCACTGGGCCTTGGTCAGTGGCCTCCCAACCTACGTGGCAGAAAGTGGCTTTGTGAGTGCTGCCCCTGGCCTGCTGCATGGCCGGCGCTGCCACCCCTCCTTGCTGCCTCCTTGCCTGTCCTTCCTGCCAGCCCCTGCTGCTTGCTTTGCGAGGTCGGAAGAGTGTCTTGCAGGGAGGCCGGGCCGGCCAGTGAGTGTGAGCTCAGGCGCTCAGAATGAAACTGTTTCTGATCCTTTCACAGATCTGTAACATCATGAATGCCTCTGCAGATGAAATGTTCGCTTTTCAGGTATGTGTCTGCTCATCGGCAGAAACTGTGCATTCCTTAGGAAAGAAGTATTTTGGTCCAGAAATTATGGACTGGATTGTTTTTTGCTGCTTAAGAAACAACTCTGAACTAGGCTCCAGTGGTTCACACCTGTAATCCTAGTTACTCTGGAGGTAGAGATCTGAGGATCACAGGTCATAGGTTGCCTGGGCAGGAAAGTCCATTAGACTATCTCCAATTGACCAGCAAAAAAGCTCGAAGTGGAGCTTCAAGTGGCAGAGCTCCAGGTCTGGGCAAAACCTACGGGGGCTGTTCCCTTAGCTTAAACGCAGGCCCTGAGTTTAAGGCCCAGTACCTGCAACAACAGCAGCAGAAGAAGGAAGAGGAGGAGGAGAAGGGGGGGAGAGAAGGAGGGATGGAGGGAGGGAGGGAGGGACGGAGGGAGGAAGGACAAGAACAGGAGGAGCTGGGCCAGTGTCCACGCTTCATTATCAGGCTCAGCATCCATGACAGGGAACAGGACCACCTGTTAACCTTCAGGGCCCAGTGCACACAGGAATGTGAAGCTCTTTGTGGAGCAATCATTAAGAGCTTTAAGAGAAGGGTGTGAACGGCCCTCTTAGAGGTGCTTCTAAGGCACCCTGCAAAGCATGCTCTCATGGGGAAGCACTCCCTTAATAGGGAGCTTCATGGCGTGGAGACCGCAGGCACAAATTCACAGGCAAGGGGGAGTGTGGAGATGGGACAGCTTGAAGGCAGCACAAATGAAGTTTCCTTCTATGAAGCAAGCCCTGGCCAGGCAAGACCCAGGGCTGGCCCAGCTTGCCTTTCCCCCTTGCAGGAGGGGCCTCTGGATGATTCCGGGTGGGTCATCAAGAACGTGCTCTCCATGCCCATTGTCAACAAGAAAGAGGAGATTGTGGGGGTGGCGACCTTCTACAACAGGAAAGATGGGAAGCCCTTTGATGACCATGATGAAGTTCTCATGGAGGTGAGCGTCGCGTGCTGGGCTTCGGTGGGGCCTGGCACAGTGGTACAGGACATGTGTCCATCCCTGTCCAGCACTGGACCAGGGGCGTGGGGACAAGGACAGACCCCAGGGTCTCACTCGCTGCGGGCCGCTGGAAGCCAGCCTCCTGAGGCACAGGGCCGCCCCCAGTAGGCACGCACCGGGGTGCGTGGAGATGAGGTAATGCTGCACCTGCTTCCCAGTCCCTGACCCAGTTCCTGGGCTGGTCGGTGCTCAACACGGACACCTACGACAAGATGAACAAGCTGGAGAACCGCAAGGACATCGCCCAGGACATGGTTCTGTACCATGTGAGGTGTGACAAGGACGAGATCCAGGAGATCCTGGTACTGTGCCCAGCACTTCATGGGGGGAGAGGGTGGAATCAAAGAGCCTGGGAATCAGGACACATTCCTGGGGCCCTTCCAGCACCTCCACTCATCCGTGAGCATGGCATGAGCACTGTCTCACGAGCGAGGCCCCACAGTGTGGTAAAAGGCAGTAAAGCAGAGGCCCAGGCGCTGACCGGTCCTTCTGAAACTGAGGGTGTCCGGGCCAAGATGACGGCTGACTAGAGTGCTCAGGTCCTTGGCCAGGCGCCCATGGTGTGAAGGTGACAAGCCGCTCCAGCGCTCGTGGGGTGAAGGCCACCCTCTCGTCCTCACGATGACTCCCCCATTGTCACATGACTCACCTGTGCCATTCTCCATCAGCCCACCAGGGAACGCCTGGGGAAAGAGCCCGCCGACTGCGAGGAGGAGGAGCTGGGGAGAATCTTGGTGAGGCTTTGCCCTTTCTCTCCGGTCTCTCAGTGGCCACTGCCCACTCCCAGGGCTGGGAAGGGAGTCCTCCTGGGATGCAGACGGGATGAACACACCGGCACCCAGATGATGTGTGTGTGTGGATGTGTGGTCCCAGGTGTGCCTACGCTGCTCCACAGCTGTGTCTCTGCAGTCTCGGCTCTGTGTGTGTCTGCAGTCTCGGCTCTGTGTGTCTGCAGTCTCGGCTCTGTGTCTCTGCAGTCTCGGCTCTGTGTGTCTGCAGTCTCGGCTCTGTGTGTCTGCAGTCTCGGCTCTGGCTGTGTGTGTCTGCAGTCTCGGCTCTGTGTGTCTGCAGTCTCGGCTCTGTGTCTCTGCAGTCTCGGCTCTGTGTGTGTCTGCAGTCTCGGCTCTGTGTGTCTGCAGTCTCGGCTCTGTGTGTGTCTGCAGTCTCGGCTCTGTGTGTCTGCAGTCTCGGCTCTGTGTGTCTGCAGTCTCGGCTCTGTGTGTGTCTGCAGTCTCGGCTCTGTGTCTCTGCAGTCTCGGCTCTGTGTCTCTGCAGTCTCGGCTCTGTGTGTCTGCAGTCTCGGCTCTGGCTCTGTGTGTCTCTGCAGTCTCGGCTCTGTGTGTCTGCAGTCTCGGCTCTGTGTCTCTGCAGTCTCGGCTCTGTGTGTGTCTGCAGTCTCGGCTCTGTGTGTCTCTGCAGTCTCGGCTCTGGCTGTGTGTCTGCAGTCTCGGCTCTGTGTGTCTGCAGTCTCGGCTCTGTGTGTGTCTGCAGTCTCGGCTCTGTGTGTGTCTGCAGTCTCGGCTCTGTGTGTCTGCAGTCTCGGCTCTGTGTGTGTCTGCAGTCTCGGCTCTGTGTGTCTGCAGTCTCGGCTCTGTGTGTGTCTGCAGTCTCGGCTCTGTGTGTCTGCAGTCTCGGCTCTGTGTGTCTGCAGTCTCGGCTCTGTGTGTCTCTGCAGTCTCGGCTCTGTGTGTCTGCAGTCTCGGCTCTGTGTGTGTCTGCAGTCTCGGCTCTGTGTCTCTGCAGTCTCGGCTCTGTGTGTGTCTGCAGTCTCGGCTCTGTGTGTCTGCAGTCTCGGCTCTGTGTGTGTCTGCAGTCTCGGCTCTGTGTGTGTCTGCAGTCTCGGCTCTGTGTCTCTGCAGTCTCGGCTCTGTGTGTGTCTGCAGTCTCGGCTCTGTGTGTCTGCAGTCTCGGCTCTGTGTTTCTGCAGTCTCGGCTCTGTGTGTGTCTGCAGTCTCGGCTCTGTGTGTCTGCAGTCTCGGCTCTGGCTGTGTGTCTCTGCAGTCTCGGCTCTGTGTGTCTCTGCAGTCTCGGCTCTGGCTGTGTGTCTGCAGTCTCGGCTCTGTGTGTCTGCAGTCTCGGCTCCGTGTGTCTGCAGTCTCGGCTCTGGCTGTGTCTCTGCAGTCTCGGCTCTGTGTGTCTGCAGTCTCGGCTCTGTGTGTCTGCAGTCTCGGCTCTGTGTGTCTGCAGTCTCGGCTCTGTGTCTCTGCAGTCTCGGCTCTGTGTGTCTGCAGTCTCGGCTCTGTGTGTCTCTGCAGTCTCGGCTCTGTGTGTGTCTGCAGTCTCAGCTCTGTGTGTCTGCAGTCTCGGCTCTGTGTGTGTCTGCAGTCTCGGCTCTGGCTCTGTGTGTCTACAGTCTCGGCTCTGTGTCTCTGCAGTCTCGGCTCTGGTTGTGTCTCTGCAGTCTCGGCTCTGTGTGTGTCTGCAGTCTCGTCTCTGGCTGTGTCTCTGCAGTCTCGGCTCTGTGTGTGTCTGCAGTCTCGTCTCTGGCTGTGTCTCTGCAGTCTCGGCTCTGTGTGTCTGCAGTCTCGGCTCTGTGTGTGTCTGCAGTCTCGGCTCTGTGTCTCTGCAGTCTCGGCTCTGTGTCTCTGCAGTCTCGGCTCTGTGTGTCTGCAGTCTCGGCTCTGTGTGTCTGCAGTCTCGGCTCTGGCTGTGTGTCTGCAGTCTCGGCTCTGTGTGTCTCTGCAGTCTCGGCTCTGGCTGTGTGTCTCTGCAGTCTCGGCTCTGTGTGTGTCTGCAGTCTCGGCTCTGTGTGTCTGCAGTCTCGGCTCTGTGTGTCTCTGCAGTCTCGGCTCTGGCTGTGTGTCTCTGCAGTCTCGGCTCTGTGTGTGTCTGCAGTCTCAGCTCTGTGTCTCTGCACTCTCGGCTCTGTGTGTCTGCAGTCTCGGCTCTGTGTGTCTGCAGTCTCGGCTCTGTGTGTCTGCAGTCTCGGCTCTGTGTCTCTGCAGTCTCGGCTCTGTGTGTCTCTGCAGTCTCGGCTCTGTGTCTCTGCAGTCTCGGCTCTGTGTGTGTCTGCAGTCTCGGCTCTGTGTCTCTGCACTCTCGGCTCTGTGTGTCTGCAGTCTCGGCTCTGTGTGTGTCTGCAGTCTCGGCTCTGTGTGTCTGCAGTCTCGGCTCTGTGTGTCTGCAGTCTCGGCTCTGTGTCTCTGCAGTCTCGGCTCTGTGTGTGTCTGCAGTCTCGGCTCTGTGTGTCTGCAGTCTCGGCTCTGTGTGTCTCTGCAGTCTCGGCTCTGTGTGTCTGCAGTCTCGGCTCTGGCTGTGTCTGCAGTCTCGGCTCTGTGTGTGTCTGCAGTCTCGGCTCTGGCTGTGTGTCTGCAGTCTCGGCTCTGTGTGTGTCTGCAGTCTCGGCTCTGTGTGTCTCTGCAGTCTCGGCTCTGTGTGTCTGCAGTCTCGGCTCTGTGTGTCTGCAGTCTCGGCTCTGTGTGTCTGCAGTCTCGGCTCTGTGTGTGTCTCTGCAGTCTCGGCTCTGTGTCTCTGCAGTCTCGGCTCTGTGTGTCTGCAGTCTCGGCTCTGTGTGTGTCTCTGCAGTCTCGGCTCTGTGTGTGTCTGCAGTCTCGGCTCTGGCTGTGTGTCTGCAGTCTCGGCTCTGTGTGTGTCTGCAGTCTCGGCTCTGTGTGTCTGCAGTCTCGGCTCTGTGTGTCTGCAGTCTCGGCTCTGTGTCTCTGCAGTCTCGGCTCTGGCTGTGTGTCTCTGCAGTCTCGGCTCTGGCTGTGTGTCTCTGCAGTCTCGGCTCTGTGTGTCTGCAGTCTCGGCTCTGTGTGTCTGCAGTCTCGGCTCTGTGTGTCTCTGCAGTCTCGGCTCTGTGTGTCTCTGCAGTCTCGGCTCTGTGTGTCTCTGCAGTCTCGGCTCTGGCTGTGTGTGTCTGCAGTCTCGGCTCTGTGTGTCTGCAGTCTCGGCTCTGGCTGTGTCTCTGCAGTCTCGGCTCTGTGTGTGTCTGCAGTCTCGGCTCTGGCTGTGTGTCTGCAGTCTCGGCTCTGTGTGTGTCTGCACTCTCGGCTCTGTGTGTGTCTGCAGTCTCGGCTCTGGCTGTGTGTGTCTGCAGTCTCGGCTCTGTGTGTCTGCAGTCTCGGCTCTGTGTCTCTGCAGTCTCGGCTCTGTGTGTCTGCAGTCTCGGCTCTGTGTGTGTCTGCAGTCTCGGCTCTGTGTGTGTCTGCAGTCTCGGCTCTGTGTGTCTGCAGTCTCGGCTCTGTGTGTCTGCAGTCTCGGCTCTGTGTGTGTCTGCAGTCTCGGCTCTGTGTCTCTGCAGTCACGGCTCTGGCTCTGTGTCTCTGCAGTCTCGGCTCTGTGTCTCTGCAGTCTCGGCTCTGTGTGTCTCTGCAGTCTCGGCTCTGTGTGTCTGCACTCTCGGCTCTGTGTGTGTCTGCAGTCTCGGCTCTGTGTGTGTCTGCAGTCTCGGCTCTGTGTGTCTCTGCAGTCTCGGCTCTGTGTGTGTCTGCAGTCTCGGCTCTGTGTGTCTCTGCAGTCTCGGCTCTGGCTATGTGTCTCTGCAGTCTCGGCTCTGGCTGTGTGTGTCTGCAGTCTCGGCTCTGTGTGTCTGCAGTCTCGGCTCTGTGTCTCTGCAGTCTCGGCTCTGTGTGTGTCTGCAGTCTCTGCTCTGTGTGTGTCTGCAGTCTCGGCTCTGTGTGTCTGCAGTCTCGGCTCTGTGTGTCTGCAGTCTCGGCTCTGTGTGTCTGCAGTCTCGGCTCTGTGTGTCTCTGCAGTCTCGGCTCTGTGTGTGTCTGCAGTCTCGGCTCTGTGTGTCTGCAGTCTCTGCTCTGGCTGTGTGTCTGCAGTCTCGGCTCTGTGTCTCTGCAGTCTCGGCTCTGTGTGTCTCTGCATTCTCGGCTCTGTGTGTCTCTGCAGTCTCGGCTCTGGCTGTGTGTCTCTGCAGTCTCGGCTCTGTGTGTCTCTGCAGTCTCGGCTCTGTGTCTCTGCAGTCTCGGCTCTGTGTGTGTCTGCAGTCTCGGCTCTGGCTGTGTGTGTCTGCAGTCTCGGCTCTGTGTGTCTGCAGTCTCGGCTCTGTGTGTGTCTGCAGTCTCGGCTCTGTGTGTGTCTGCAGTCTCGGCTCTGTGTGTCTGCAGTCTCGGCTCTGGCTGTGTGTCTGCAGTCTCGGCTCTGTGTGTCTGCAGTCTCGGCTCTGTGTGTGTCTGCAGTCTCGGCTCTGTGTGTGTCTGCAGTCTCGGCTCTGGCTCTGTGTCTCTGCAGTCTCGGCTCTGTGTCTCTGCAGTCTCGGCTCTGTGTGTGTCTGCAGTCTCGGCTCTGTGTGTGTCTGCAGTCTCGGCTCTGGCTCTGTGTGTCTGCAGTCTCGGCTCTGTGTGTCTGCAGTCTCGGCTCTGTGTGTCTCTGCATTCTCGGCTCTGTGTGTCTGCAGTCTCGGCTCTGTGTGTGTCTGCAGTCTCGGCTCTGTGTGCGTCTGCAGTCTCGGCTCTGTGTGTGTCTGCAGTCTCGGCTCTGTGTGTCTGCAGTCTCGGCTCTGTGTGTCTCTGCAGTCTCGGCTCTGTGTGTGTCTGCAGTCTCGGCTCTGTGTGTCTGCAGTCTCTGCTCTGGCTGTGTGTCTGCAGTCTCGGCTCTGTGTCTCTGCAGTCTCGGCTCTGTGTGTCTGCAGTCTCGGCTCTGTGTGTGTCTGCAGTCTCGGCTCTGTGTGTCTGCAGTCTCGGCTCTGTGTGTCTGCAGTCTCGGCTCTGTGTGTCTGCAGTCTCGGCTCTGTGTGTCTGCAGTCTCGGCTCTGTGTGTCTGCAGTCTCGGCTCTGTGTGTATCTGCAGTCTCGGCTCTGTGTGTCTCTGCAGTCTCGGCTCTGTGTGTGTCTGCAGTCTCGGCTCTGGCTGTGTGTCTCTGCAGTCTCGGCTCTGTGTGTCTCTGCAGTCTCGGCTCTGTGTGTCTCTGCAGTCTCGGCTCTGTGTGTGTCTGCAGTCTCGGCTCTGTGTGTCTCTGCAGTCTCGGCTCTGTGTCTCTGCAGTCTCGGCTCTGTGTGTGTCTGCAGTCTCGGCTCTGGCTGTGTCTCTGCAGTCTCGGCTCTGGCTGTGTGTCTCTGCAGTCTCGGCTCTGTGTGTGTCTGCAGTCTCGGCTCTGTGTCTCTGCAGTCTCGGCTCTGTGTGTCTGCAGTCTCGGCTCTGTGTGTCTCTGCAGTCTCGGCTCTGTGTGTCTGCAGTCTCGGCTCTGTGTGTCTGCAGTCTCGGCTCTGTGTGTCTGCAGTCTCGGCTCTGTGTGTCTCTGCAGTCTCGGCTCTGTGTGTCTGCAGTCTCGGCTCTGTGTGTCTCTGCAGTCTCGGCTCTGGCTCTGTGTGTCTCTGCAGTCTCGGCTCTGTGTGTCTGCAGTCTCGGCTCTGTGTGTCTGCAGTCTCGGCTCTGTGTGTCTGCAGTCTCGGCTCTGTGTGTCTCTGCAGTCTCGGCTCTGGCTCTGTGTGTCTCTGCAGTCTCGGCTCTGTGTGTCTGCAGTCTCGGCTCTGTGTGTCTGCAGTCTCGGCTCTGTGTGTCTGCAGTCTCGGCTCTGTGTCTCTGCAGTCTCGGCTCTGTGTGTCTGCAGTCTCGGCTCTGTGTGTCTCTGCAGTCTCGGCTCTGTGTGTCTCTGCAATCTCGGCTCTGGCTGTGTGTCTCTGCCGTCTCGGCTCTGAGGGTCTGTCCAGCTGGGATTCACATCATGTTTACTCCGCTGATGGTTTGTGTGTTTTGCTTTGGCCTTTCTTTGGCCTCTTGACTTTTTCACTCACAGCTGGCATTCTAGTTCACACCTCTGTTTCTGGTTGTTTTTTGTTTGTTTGTTTAGCTTTCTGTTGATTATTTGGAGACAAAAATTTGAGGATTTATCTGTCCAGGCTGGCTCCAAACTGCAATTCTCAGGTCTCAGCATCCTGAGTAGCTAGGATGATAGGCATGAGCCACTAACACCCAGCTACCAAGCCTCTGATCTGCTTACCTATCTTTTCTAGTACTACCCACGTCTCTGCAGGCGCAGGTTGGACCAAGTGCCCATTGATGCTGTCTCCTTATGGGACTGACCAAGGGCCTGTGGTCCCTAGTATGGATATATCTATGCATGTGTCTGGCATACAGGGATATGTTTCTCACAAAGAACACCCCTAGATCAACTTGTCAGTCACATGATGCCTCATCTCTAGACCACTTGAATGACCCAGCAGGATTGCCAGATTGAACATCTTACAGAACACCTTTGAGCGTGTGAGCATGCTGGACATGCTCTGAACACCGGTGGTGTGTGTGTCACCCTGTGGCTGTGTGTGGTCTGTGGGGGGCATGTCTGCACATGTGCACATTGTTCACCGTGATGCATCCATGCGTGTGCCTGTGTGCCTTTTCATGTGCATATGTGCGTGTTTGCTTGCCCCACAGCACCTCCCTGTCAGGTCACTGGGTAGGGAAGAAGAGAACCGGTTGGGCCGAGGCAATGCAAGCATCCTGGGACATGCTGCAGGGTTGCAGGCAGCTCCAGAGGTGCCTGGGGTTCAGAGAAGAGAAAGGCCCAGAAACCAGTGGGCTGCAAATGGCTGCTTCGCTTAGCCCACGGTTCCTTCTGCAGAAGGAAGAGCTGCCGGGGCCCACCAAGTTTGACATCTATGAGTTCCATTTCTCTGACCTGGAGTGCACTGAGCTGGAGCTGGTCAAGTGCGGCATCCAGATGTATTACGAGTTGGGCGTGGTCCGCAAGTTCCAGATTCCCCAGGAGGTAGGGAGGCGTGGCCAGAGGCCCTGGGGTCCCAGGGAGTGGGGGATGTAACTGAGGGCCCCAGCCCCCCAAGAGGGGAGGTCGTGTGGTGTGGATAGTCTCACACCCCACGGGAAGTGTGGGGACACTAAATTAGGTGCTGAGATGGATGGGTAAAATATAGTCAATATGCTCAGAATAAAGGATTGGATGTGGATGGGCGGGTGGGTGGATGGCTGTGTATGCGAATAAATGAGAGATGAATAGATGGGTGGATGGACATGTGGATGAATGGATGAATGACTAGATAGATGTTGGATAAGCAGATGGGTAGAAGGACATAAGAACAGGTTCAAGGATATGTATGGGTGGGTGACGGTTCGATGAATAGGTGGATGGACATGTGGGTGGTGGATGGAGGGATGAATGTGGATTGGTGAGGGATAAATGGTGGGTGGCTAGATGCCTGCATAGGTAGATGGGTATATGGATAGATGAATATGAATAGATGAATTGTTGGTTGGATGGATAATAATGGCTGCCTGGTGGATAGATGAGGTAGTAAGTGTTGGGTAGAAGAATGGATGGTAGATGGATGGCCGGACAGAAAATTTGATTAATAGGAGCTCCAAAAATGTTTTTATTGATGCACCATTGGTCAAAAAGGGGGGTTGAAAGCTGGGCGCTGGCGGCTCACGCCTGTAATCCTAGCTACTCAGGAGATCTGAAGATCCAGGTTCAAAGCCAGCCTGGGCAGGAAAGTCTGTGAGACTCTTATCTCTAATAAGCCACTAGAAAACCAGAAGTGGCGCTGTAGCGCAAGTGGTAGAGCGCTAGCCTTGAGCTGAAGAGCTGAGGGACAGCGCCCAGGCCCAGAGTTCAAGCTCCACGACCAACCAAAAAAAAGGGGGTTGGCATGGTGTAACAAAGGAAATTGAAGCAACCCCTCACCTAAAGAGAAGGCACATAGCATCTAGGTTTGGGCCCAGGAGGCCCCTCGGGATCACTGCAGGGAGGAAGGACTCACCCCCAGCTCAGGCCCTCTCCTCCATTCTCCCTTCATCTCTGCTGTTCCCACCTCCCTTGGGCCCTAGCAACCCCTGAGGACTCATCATTTTTCTTAAGCTCCTTGGGGAACAAAATTGGAAGTCTGACATTTCTGAAATTTTACTGAATTCTAAAGGAAAACAAAAAGGGAAATTTTATATAAAATATCAACAGAAACCAGGCTCCAGTGGCTCACGCCTATAATCCTAAGCTACTCAGGAGGCTGAGTTCTGAGGATTGTGGTTTGAAGCCAGACTGGGCAGAAAAGTTGTGAGACTCTCATTTCCAGAAAAGGCAAGAAGTGGTGCTGTGGCTCAAGTAGTAGAGCACTAGCCTTGAGCAGAAGCAGCACAAGGACAGCACCCAGGCCCTGAGTTCAAACCCCAGGACTGGCTTTAAAAAAAAAAATCAGGGGCTGGGAAGGTGGCCCGGTGGTAGAGCGCTTGCTTTGCATGCATGAGGCCCTGGGTTTCATTCCTCAGCACCACATAAGCAGAAAAAGCTCTGTGGCTCAAGCAGTAGAGCACGAGCCTTGAGCTGAAGAGCTGAGGGACAGCACCCAGGCCCAGGCCCAGAGTTCAGGCCCAATGACCAAAAAACAAAAAACAAAAACCACAGAATAAAAATATTTTCAGGGGGCTGGGAAGGTGGCTCAGTGGTAGAGTGCTTGCCTTGCATGCATGAGGCCCTGGGTTCAATTCCTCAGCACCACATAAGCAGAAAAGGCTGGAAGTGGCGCTGTCGTACAGTGCTCACCTTGAGCTGAAGAGCTGAGGGACAATACCCAGGCCTAGAGTTAAAGCCCATGACTGATCAAAAAAAAAAAAAAAAAAAAGAAAAAAAAATATTTTCAGGTAATTTTCTGACCCTAACTGTTGCTACGGAGCAGCTAAGGGCTCCCTCGACCACATTCTCTGGCCCAGAGAAAACGGCTCCCCAAGGGCTCCTGGGCTCCCGCTCTCCTGCCCAGAGGCCTTACATCTGTCTTGTTCAAGCATCCAGGCAATAACTAGTATTTTTTCTTTACCTCATACCTCAAGGGTCCCTTTCCCCATTTGGAATAGAGCCCTGAACTGGAGGCCCCAGATCCCCAGGGTCTGGAGGTTTTCTTGGCTCTGCAGGACAGGCAGACCAGTGGCTGCAAGCGTTCAGAGGCGGGAGAGGCAGGAGGCCTCGGGGAGGCAGGGGCCACTGGGAGGCGGGAGGCCTCGGGGAGGCCTGGGGGAGGTGGGAGGCCTCTGGGAGGCAGGGTGGGGGGGCATGGGGGAGGCAGGGGGCCTTGGGTGGGGCGGGGGCCTGGGGGAGTCGGGGGGGGGGCCTGGGGCAGGCGGGGGGGGCCTAGGGGAGACGGGGGGGGGGCCTGGGGAGGCAGGGGTCTGGGGGAGGCAGGGGGGCCTGGGGAAGTCGGGGGGGCCTGGGGGAGGCAGGGGGTCTGGGGGGCGGGGCCTGGGGGAGTCGGGGGGGCCTGGGGGAGGCGGGAGGGGGCCTGGGGGAGGCGGTGGTCTGGGGGAGGCGGGGGGCCTGGGGGGCCTTGGGGGGATGGGGGGCCTCGGGGGGGGGGCAGAGGGGGAGCCTGGGGGAGGCAGGGGGGGTCTGGAGGGGCGGGGGTCTAGGGGAGGCGGGGGTGTCTGGGGAAGTCGGGGGGCCTGGGGGAGGTGGGGGGTCTGGGGGGCAGGGGCCTGGGGGAGGCGGGGGTCCTGGGGGAGTCGGGGGGGCCTGGGGGAGGCCGGGGGAGCCTGGGGGGTGGGGGTCTGGGGGAGGCGGGGGGCCTGGGGGGGGCTTGGGGGGGTGGGGGGCCTGGGGGAGGTGGGGGAGGGGCTTGGGGAGGCGGGGGGGGCCTGGGGGGGCGGGGGGTCTGGGGGAGGTGGGGGGCCTGGGGGGGGCCTTGGGGGGGTGGGGGGCCTCAGGGGGGGCCTAGGGGAGGCAGGAGGCCTTGGAGAGGCGGGGTGTTGGGTGACAGCCATGGCGCAGGCTCTGCCAGAGGCACAGATGAGGCTCTGGGGGCCCTGTGGGGAGGGCCCAGAGCCCACACCTCCTCTCCTCCCCCAGGTTCTGGTGCGGTTCCTGTTCTCCGTCAGCAAAGCCTACAGGAGAATCACCTACCACAACTGGCGCCACGGCTTCAATGTGGCCCAGACCATGTTTACACTGCTCATGGTGCGTCTAATGGGTAGGACAGGGTCACACACAAGGCTGGTAGAGTGTCCAGGCCACCTTCCTCCTGGTCCAAGGGCCTCCCAAGCCGGAGCCGGAGATGACCTGGTAGGGCAGAGGCGGTGAGATCCGCCCAGGTCTGGGCACCTTATGCAGCATTGACGGGGGGGGGGGGGGGGGGGGGGGGGGGGGGGGGGGAATGACGGACCGACAGCAGGAGCCAAGCATGCACCTGTTCCCACAGACAGGCAAACTGAAGAGCTACTACACAGACCTGGAGGCCTTCGCCATGGTCACCGCCGGCCTATGCCATGACATCGACCACCGCGGCACCAACAACCTGTATCAGATGAAGTAGGCACTGGGGGCCAGGCTCACGGGGGCCACGGGGACCGCACGGCGTGAGGCTTTGGGGCTGGTCTGCACGGCCTGGCAGCTGGCTCCAAGCGGAGCTGGCTTCAGAGCACGGTGCATCTTCTTGTCCTCTGACTCCATTTTTTAATTACACTTCCAACAGATCCCAGAATCCCCTAGCCAAGCTGCATGGCTCCTCCATTTTGGAGCGGCACCATCTGGAGTTTGGCAAGTTCTTGCTGGCAGAGGAGGTTTGCACTTTAACTCAGTACCTGATCTTGGGGGCTGGGGTAACCAGGGCATGCGGGGACAAGTGAACCTCAGGCCCTGGAAAGTAAGGGTTCATGAGAAAGAGGGGCTTTGTGTAAAGAGCTGCAGAACAGGTAGCTGGAGATGGTGCATGGGGAAGAGCGGCATCCAGAAAGGCAGCAGCCAGAAGTAGCCAGGGGTGGGGAGGGGGAGGGGAGGGGGGTGGGGGGGGCAGAAGTCTCAACAGAGGAGGCAGGTGCAGCCACCGACCCAGGACCCTCCTGCGACCTGGGTCCAGAGCTGACAGCCCACAGCAAAAGCCCACTGCGGGGAATGGGCAGGGCTGACAGGCCACAGCAGAGGCCCACTGCGGGGAATGGGCAGGAAGGGCAGGAGAGAGCCATCCTCACTTGGAGAAGCTGCAGCTTAGGACAGGCTGTCTGGAGTGCCACAAGCGAGGTCCGGGCTGCAGTGAGAGGCGTCAGGCCCACCTGAGAACCATCGGGGCAGGAGACTGTGGGTGTCACCTACCAAGACCCTGAGACAGATCCATGTTCTCCTACTGCAGAGCCTGAATATCTACCAGAACCTGAACCGAAGGCAGCATGAGCATGTGATCCATCTCATGGACATTGCCATCATCGCCACCGACCTGGCCCTCTATTTCAAGTGAGCACTGTGCAGAGGCTGGGGAGGATCCTGGGTGGCAGGGGGGTCTCTTGGCAGTAAGGGGGGGGTCCTGGGCAGTGCGGGGTCCTGGGCAGTGGGGGAGTCCTGGGCGGTGGGGGGGTCTCTTGGCAGTAAGGGGGGCTCCTGGGCAGTGGGGGGTCCTGGGCAGTGGGGGGTCCTGGGCAGTGGGGGTCCTGGGCAGTGGGGGGTCCTGGGAATTGGGGGTCCCTTGGCAGTTAGGGGGTTCCTGGGCAGTGGGGGGTCCTGGGCAGGGCAGGGTCCTGGGTAAAACATGGCAGGTGTGACTGCTCTGTTACCTGCCGTCCCCACTTCTTGGGGTCCAGGAAGAGGACAATGTTCCAGAAGATTGTGGACGAGTCCAAGAACTACGAGGACAAGAAGAGCTGGGTGGAGTACTTGTCCCTAGAGACAACACGGAAGGAGATTGTCATGTGAGATGTGGGCAAAGGTGGCAGATCCACAGCTGGCCACTTAACCCTGTAGACCTCCTGGACCCATAGACAGAGGACGCCAGAAAGATAATGGCTCTTCAAATAGTTTATTGAGGCTTGGGAGTAAATCTTCTGCCCCTATCTGTCCTCAGTTCTAGAGGAGGCATCAGGATCAGATGGACACTTGGTTTAAGGTCTTGGTACCCACACACTTCATGTTTGGTTCCCCTTCTTTACACATAAGGAACTGTGGCTGGGGGCTGCTCCTTCCCTGGCCATGTCTTAGGAGCCTCTGGGAACATCTACTCTTCACTCAGTAAAACCACGTATGTTCTGCCTGTTTGCAGGGCCATGATGATGACTGCATGTGATCTGTCTGCCATCACCAAGCCCTGGGAAGTCCAGAGCAAGGTCAGGGCTAGCAGAGAGTCGTAGGGCTGCATCTGAGAGATGCAGCGGGAGACAGCGGTTACGGGCCACTGGGGCCCGGGGCTGCCAGAACACAGCAGTGGGAGGTGCACAGGCACTGCTGGCCCAGCAGAACCCCGTGGGCTGGAGGCTGGGGAGGCCTGGAGAGGAGGCCCACCTGCTCCTGAGTGCAGAGTCCCACCCTGACCCTTCTGCCCCCAGGTTGCTCTTCTGGTAGCCGCTGAATTCTGGGAACAAGGTGACCTGGAAAGGACAGTCTTGGATCAGCAGCCCATCGTAAGTGCTGCTTCCAGAGGTTTCTACCCTGACAAGTGTCGCTTTACTGTGGTGCTCAGGACCTTTGGGACATTTTTAACCTCACTTTATGAAGATTCTGTAGCATGAATTGCGTGGGTCAGCAGCTCGCAGAAGAGGCTGGTGTGGGTTAGGACACACAAAGGGGTGAGTCTGGGAAATTGAAGGATTTAGGCAGCTGTGGGACAAGGTGACCCTCAGAACAGTCCTAAGGGGAGTGCAGAAAAGCCTGAGACAGAGGTTCACGGCAAGAGAGATGCTGGGTCAGTGAGTCGAGACTGACTGCGAGGACACAGGGGACACCCAGATGGACACTGGGGACAAGGACAGACGGGGCTGCTTCACACCTGTGGGAACTGGGGACAAGGACGGACGGGGCTGCTTCACACCTGTGGGAACTGGGGCTGCTTCACACCTGTGGGAACTGGGGCTGCTTCACACCTGTGGGAACTGGGGCTGCTTCACACCTGTGGGAACTGGGGCTGCTTCACACCTGTGGGAACTGGGGACAAGGACGGACGGGGCTGCTTCACACCTGTGGGAACTGGGGCTGCTTCACACCTGCAGCAGAGTTTTGCAGAGTAATTCCAGGCAGTGTGAAGAGCCGTCTGGAGCAGACTTGGGGCCTTATTCTCAAGGAAAGGGGGGCGTGAGCCAACTAGCAACAGTTAATTAAAAACAAAAACCAAGCAGTAAAGCTGGTCATCTAGGACCTGGCCTCAGTGCCTGCGGGCTTCACTCTCACTGCACCAAGCCCTGGAGGAGCTGCGGGAGACACGAGGGCTACTCAGAGCAGCAGCCCGGCAGCACCAAGAGCAGCCTCCAGAACGCATCTTGGTCCTGGACAGCCGGTCAGCACCAGGGACAGCGTCCCCAGTGGCGCCGGCTGCTGGGGCTCACAGAAGAGCTTGGTGAACACACTGGAGCCCACAGGGGACGCCAGGGCCACCTGGCAGCTGACCCCCCAGCTGGGATCCATCTTGCCCCTGCCCACGCATCTCTGGGAACCCCTTCACCTGAGTTGTAGGACTGGGTGGGAGCCTGAGGTGATGATACTTATGTCATCAGCTGCCTGTTTCTCCCACAAGCCCATGATGGACCGGAACAAAGCAGCTGAGCTCCCCAAGCTACAAGTCGGCTTCATCGACTTTGTGTGCACATTCGTGTACAAGGTATGCAGCTGGGGCCTTATTCTGTGTTGGATAGGGCAGAGTGGCCAGGGACAGGAGGAGGCATGGGAGGAAACTTGCATGCCTAACCACAGAAGGCAGAAAAGAAGAGACCATCACAGCCAGCATGCACCCCAGTGGCCAGCCCTGACCTGTCCTCAGAACTGCAGCCCTGAGCACTTCCCTAGCAGAAATTCCTGGCTCACCTCAGGTCACACAGATCACTGCTTCTGAGAGCCCCTCCCACCCACAGCCCAGTCTTTAGGCAAGGAGGCAGCCTGCCTGCAGGGTCTGAACTCTCAAGGGTAGGTCTGGGTCTGTCTGTCATCACCAGTGAACCCTGCCTGAAGGCAGCCACATTCCCACAGCTAGTACCCTGGTGAGCCCTTTAAGTTCGCTGTTTGGTTCCCAAAGACCTGGGGCAGAAATTGCAAAGCCCCTGTGGAGTAGTAGCACTGCACCGGGCTCCAGACTGCTGTGGCATATGGCCCAACGGACTCCACCTGTAAGGACGATGTCTGGCTCTAAGTGAAGTTAGTCCTGACCAGCCAGGCAGAGCCAAGGACCCTCCCTTGTCCGGCGGTCACAGGCCACAGCCCCTCAGTGGGTACCTGCTGCCTTCCTCCGCCCCTCCACACCATGTAACATACACGTGCACGTGTAGTGTGTAGCTGTGATCTGCAGTGTGCATGTGGCTGTGCATCTTTGAGCACACGTCCACGGGTTCCACTCCATTCCCGGGACCCTCCTGCCAACACTGTCCAGAGCACTCCTTCCATGAAGCAGCTCTTTGCACAAGGTCTCAAGCCTGTCCTCTCCGTGGGGCTTTGCTGGTTCTCCAGGTGAGGGCCAGCGAGGGCTGGAGGAGAAAAGGAGCGAAGGCTTGAGCCTGCCCGGGCAGTGTGACAGTGCAGCGACTTCTCATGGTTCCCTCCAGGAATTTTCCCGTTTTCATGAAGAAATCCTGCCCATGTTCGACCGACTGCAAAACAACAGGAAGGAGTGGAAAGCACTGGCTGATGAGCATGAGGTCAAAGTCAAGGCTCTGGAGGAGAAGAAGAAGGAAGAGGAGAATGTAGCAGCCAAGAAAGGTTGGGCGCCCTACCCCCAGGCTAGAGCTGTGCGTTGCAGAGAGCAGCTGGGTGACTTGGAGAGGCTGGTGTACAGCTCAGGGGAGACTCCTCGCCAGACACAGCTGCTCACACCACACAGCGCATTCCCAAACAGGAGCTCATGCTCTGTACAGGGGAACTCTGTTCCCCAAACTCCTGATAGCCCTTTGTCCCAAGTTAGGCATGGATGGGGACACAGGCTAGTAACCTCAGCCCATGAAGGAGGAGGGTTATGAGTTTGAGGTCAGCCAAGGTTATATAACAAGACCATGTCTAAATAAAAAAAAAAAAAAATTGTGGCTGGATGCAGGTGGCTCACACCTATAATCCTAGCTACTCAGAGGGCTGAGATTGGGATCTGAGGATTGCACTTTTTTATTTTTTATTTTTGGGTCCGGTCGTGGGGCCTGAACTCTGGGCCTGGGCGCTATCCCTCAGCTCTTCAGCTCAAGGCTAGCGCTCTACCACTTGAGCCACAGCGCCACTTCCAGCTTTTTTTCTTTTTGCTTATGTGATACTGGGGAATCGAACCCAGGACCTCATGCATGCAAGGCAAGCGCTCTACCACTGAGCCACCTTCCCAGCCCCATAGATCGCACTCTTCAAAGCCATCCTGGGCAGACAAACCTGACTGACACATCTCCATTAACCACCAAAAAGCCAGAAGTGGAGCTGTGGCTCAAGTGGTAGTAAGCATGAAGGCTCAGGGACAGCACCCAAGCCCCGAGCTCAAGCCCCAGGACTGACACCAAAAAGAAAAAAAAAGTTAAATAGCAACAGGAAATCGAGCCATATTCCCATTAAGCTTCCGAAGCAGAACAGCAAGCCTAAAACAAAAGACACAGATTTGAGCAAAGCAAACATTGTCTTTCATGATGTCATTTCTTTCCCAGGCTAGGACTCAGTTGAGAGTTAGCACACCCAGGTCAGCCAGTAACACTGTATCTTCACTGGCGTCTGGCAACCCTCGCTGTTTTTCTCCTTCCTGCCTTCTTGTGCCACGGGGTAAGAGACGAATGTGAGCCAGGCAGCGTAAGGGTCATGGCAGGCCAAGACCGAGAGTAAGCAGGGCATGGTGTCAGCAGGGCTCAAGCATTAGCTGAGACTCAGCAGGTAATCCGCTTGGACTGACCACACACCCAGCTCAGCCTCTCCTGCTGGCCTGGTAGAGGGCATGGGGCAGAGACGGCAATGAAGGTTCTGTTTGTCTTCTCTTGTAGTGGGCATGGAAGTCTGCAATGGTGGCCCGGCGCCAAAGTCTTCTACCTGCTGTATCCTGTGAGCCCTGGACCGGGCTGCCAATCCCTCCTGCTACCGCTACTTACACACTGGACCCTGCCTCTGCAGTCTGGTATATGTTAGAAAGCAAAGAAAATGATTGAGCATAACTGAGTATTTTGAAACTAAGGTTGTGTTTTTTATAAACTAAAGCCAACTGTGACTAACTTAGGTGGTAGCCCACGTAACTAATCAGTTTTTTGGTTTTTTTGCTGGTCCTGGGGATCAAATTCTGGGCTTGGTTCTGTCCCTGAGCTCCTTTTTGCTCAAGGCTAGGACCTACCACTTGAGCCACAGTGCTACTTCTGGCTTTTTCTGCGATTAATTGGAGATAAGTCTCACAGATTTTCTTGCCTTGGCTGGCTTTGAACTGTGATCCTCAGATCTCAGCCTCCTGAGTAGCTATCACAAGTGTGAGCCACTGGTGCTCCGCTCACCAGTTTTTCAGATAGTTTCCACAAGGAGATCTCTAACTTGGGTCAGTGAACTGTTGAGTGGAACCATCCAGAACCAACATGTATATACGTGTATATACCTATATGGTAGACAGCATCCATATACCCCATCTTGTTTAGCAAAATCATGCCTAGGAACTCAGAATAAAACTCGACCTGCTCGCTTTTTACAAAGTAGAATCATTGTGGAGGGCACCTCATAATGTGACCTAGTCAGGACATTCTACCACAAAGGTCAAGGCCATGAATAGCGAGAGCAGTAATCCGAACAGAGGTCTGAAGGGAAGAATTGTACTAACCACTGGAGTGGAACTTGAAGCTAAGCCTCCTACCAGCAAGGCCTGCGGCCTCCACAGCCCGCACTCTGCATGACTTCATGTAGGCAAGCCGGGAAGGAGCAGCAGAGGCAGTTCACTGGGATTCACTGTATAAGGAAAAAAGGCTTCTAACTCACAGTGACCCGAAACATCTGCTCCCTTGATAGTCAACTGGATAGAGTCATTCCTGAGAGCAGAGGGGAGGGTGGACACACCCAACATTATCATCTACCTGCTGCAAACAGGAGCCAGTTTAGTATTTGTTTTCACCTCTTTACTCTTGAGAGAGTAAAGCAAGGACCAAGGGATACAGGACCTGGCCACACCATAAGACCCAGGTGCTGCATACCAGGTGGTGGGGGGGGGGGGGCCCCACTGGAGAATCAAACAACACCTTAATATACAGGGCTCTGAGTTCATGTAGTCGCACCTCTTCACTCACTTTACAGAACAGGGGAAACACATTTGGGGCCCCAGCCCTGAGATATGTGCTCAAGGCATAAAGCTGGAAAATAGCCACAACCACCTAGTCCACTCCAAACCTACAGCCCAGGGTCTGGCCTGCTCTTAGCAAGAGCCTGGGGGTTCCCTGGGGAAAGAACACCTCAGGAACAACTCAGCTCACTTCTCTGAGCTTTCGTTTCAAGACCAGCCAAGACTCCACCACCTAGAGAACTGGATTGGGCAATGAATACACGCTCCCATGCAGGACCCTCCTGTGTCCTATGCCTATCCAGGGACATGTGCCCAGAACAGAGCAAACTGCACTCTGTCCCCTACCACCGTGTGCGCGTACACACTCCAACCCGTCCCAGACAGAACAAGCACTAGTTTTGTCTTTCTGTACTTTCAGTGTGCCAACTACACTTTAGGTCTGTACCAAATGATTCTCCTTAGTTCTTTCAAATTTCCCCTAGGCCCCGACAATCAGGAAAATAATCCAACTGCTTGGGACAGTAAGGAGAGGGAGCCAGAGCGTCACAAACCAAATTTTTATTCATCCGATGGGGCTGGAAAATGGCAGAGCTGGTGCCTCTCACTTAAGTATGCTGTCTTCCTGGGCTGAAAGGTCAGAAGAGTCAAAGCGTCAGACATTATTGCTCTCTGAGGCCACCTTAGAGATCCTTGGGGTTGCAGTTTCCAAACTACCCAGAAAAGTGGCGCTGTGGCTCAAGCGGTAGAGTGCTCGCCTTGAGCTGAAGAGCTAAGGGACAGCGCCCAGGCCCAAAGTTCAAGACTCACGACTGACAAAAAAAAAAAAACTATCCAGATTCTAACTCAAATGAAGCCAGGAGTGCTGAGTTGCCTCCAGGTAACGAGACTTGGGTCTGCTGGGGTCAGCTGCTCTGTTATGGCCTCTCTGGACCGGGTGCAAGTGGCCCAGAGAGATCGGGCGCTGTCCCCAAGGCAAACTGCCCCACGCCTCCCCCAGCCTGGCACTCGGAGCCCCGGGTGGTGGGAAGGGACACCCTCCCATCCTCCACTAATCCTGCATCCCGACCTCGGCCAGTCCTCCCTCCCCGCGCCCTCCCCTAGCCCTCACTGGGCGGGCAGCGGGCTCGGGCCGCCCCGGCGTGGGGGCTCGGGCTGGCCGTACCTTCGGCCAGCTGCCTCTCAATCCGCTTCAGCTCGTCCTGCCTCTTCTTCTCCTCCGCCGCCACCCTCCTCTCCTCCTCCGCGCGGGGCTTCAGGTAACCTGGAACGCGGGGTCAGCCTCAGAGCGGGGCCGGGCTTCCCCCGAGCACCCCGAGCCCCCCGACTCTCCGAGCCCCCCGATCCCCTCCCCGAGCCCCCCGACCCCCCCCCCATCCCCTCCCCGAGCCCCCCGACTCTCCGAGCCCCCCGACCCCCCCGATCCCCTCCCCGAGCCCCCCGACCCCTCGAGCCCTCCGAGACCCCCGACCCCCCCCAGGCCCGCGCCAGCCCTCCCGCTTCCCCGCCGCCGCCCGCCCGACTCACTGTGGCGCTTGGCTCCGTAGGCCATGCCGAGGACCAGGGCGGAGTAGCGACCGAGCTGCGGGACAGAGGGGGGCTGAGCACCGTGCGAGGGGGAGGGAACGGGAGTGGGGGTACGGGGGGGGTCGAGGGCAGCCGCGGGGGGGGTCGAGGGCAGCCGCGGGGGGGGTCGAGGGCAGCCACGGGGGGGGATCGAGGGCAGCCGCGGGGGGGATCGAGGGCAGCCGCGGGGGGGATCGAGGGCAGCCGCGGGGGGGGTCGAGGGCAGCCGCGGGGGGGATCGAGGGCAGCCGCGGGGGGGATCGAGGGCAGCCGCGGGGGGGATCGAGGGCAGCCGCGGGGGGGATCGAGGGCAGCCGCGGGGGGGATCGAGGGCAGCCGCGGGGAGGGGATCGAGGGCAGCCGCGGGGGGGATCGAGGGCAGCCGCGGGGGGGATCGAGGGCAGCCGCGGGGAGGGGGCGAGGGCAGCCGCGGGGAGGGGATCGAGGGCAGCCGCGGCGGGCCGGGCCGGGCCGCGGGGCCGCCCGCAGGGTGGGAGCCCGGACGGGGTGCGGGCTGCAGCAGGCGGGGACGGAGGGCGGGGGCCGGGCCGGGCCGCGGGTCGGGTCAGGCGGGGCCGCCGCACACGGCCCCGAAGCTGGGTTCACCTTGATGAGCGGAGACACTTGCACCGGCGGCACCATCTTGCCCCGACCTTCACACCGGAAGCACAACGAGGGAGAAGGGCGAACCCTCGCGGCGGGGAGGCCCCGGAAGGCGCACGCGCCGCCCCCCGGCGCCCCCTGGCGGGCGGAGGGAGGGGGCGGGGCTGCGCCTGCGCGCTGCCCCGGGCAGGGCGGGGCAGAGGGCGGGGGCGGGGCTGCGCCTGCGCGCTGCCCCGGGCGGGGCGGGGCGGGGCGGAGGGCGGGGGCGGGGCTGCGCCTGCGCGCTGCCCCGGGCGGGGCGGGGCGGGGCGGGGCGGGGCGGGGCGGGGCGGGGCGGGGCGGGGCGGGGCGGGGCGGGGCGGCACCGCCCCCGGGCTGACTTCCCTCTTCCGCCGGGCGGGAGCGGGCGGCTCGGGTTTGAGCCGCGGGCGCTGCAGCGGTTCTGGTCGCGGTGGGGCGGCCTCGAGGCAGCCGCCTTCCCGGCCCTGCGGCGACCCGGAGGGCTGGGGTCCGGCGCAGGCCCGAGCCCCGCCGCCTCCACGCGGGCCCTCCGCCGCCTGCCAGCCCGCCGTCCTCCCGCCTCGACCTGGGGTCGGGACGGTCTGGTCGGAGCCCCGCACCCCGGCCCGGCCCCGCGGCCTGGCCCCGCACCCCGGCCCCCCTTCCCCCAGCCCCGCACCCCGGCCCCCCCGCACCCCGGCCCCCATTCCCCCGGCCCCCCCGCACCCCGGCCCCCATTCCCCCGGCCCCGCACCCCGGCCCCGCCTCCCCCGGTCCCCCGCACCCCGGCCCCCCGCACCCCGGCCCCGCACCCCGGCCCCGCACCCCGGCCCCGCACCCCGGCCCCGCCTCCCCCGGCCCCCCTTCCCCCAGCCCCGCACCCCGGCCCCCCATTCCCCCGGCCCCTCACCCCGGCCCCGCCTCCCCCGGCCCCTCTTCCCCCGGCCCCCCTCTCCAGGTCCCGCACCCCGGCCCCCCATTCCCCCGGCCCCTCACCCCGGCCCCGCCTCCCCCGGCCCCTCTTCCCCCGGCCCCCCTCTCCAGGTCCCGCACCCCAGCCCCCCTTCCCCCAGCCCCGCACCCCGGCCCCCCCTCCCCGGGTCCCGCACTCCGGCTCCCCGTCCCGCACCCCGGGTCCCCCTCCCTGGGTCCCGCACCCCTGCCCGCCATAGGGAGGGTGCGTGGCGTTGCGGGAGGCCGTGCGTGGCCGCGTGGCCTCCCCGCCGCGGACCGGACAGGGGTCCTGGTGGACCGGCCTGGCTCCCGGGCCCTCACTGCCCTCGCCCTCCCCGGCGGCAGGCCGCCGCCTCCAGCCCTGTACCCGGATGGCACCCCTAGGAGGCAGCAGCCCCTTAGAGTGGCCGTCAGGCCTGGGCGGCCGCAGGACCCCTCTCCACTCCTTGGACAGAGCCATCCATCCTAGCCCGCCATGATGAAGCCCCTGGCCCGTCCACACCGGGGTCTCCGCCTCCCGGCCCCTTCCAGCCCCTCCTAGACCTCCTAGGTCACACGGGTCACCCGCACAGGAGCCGGCGCTGCTTCTCACGCCTCCCTGTGAGGAGGGGTCTGGCCGGCCCCCTCTCCCGACAGTAAACCTTTTCTTGTTCTCTGTGCCTGGATGTCTGCGTGGTTTTCTGGCAAAGTCTAATTAATATTATTTAGCTATCACCATGCCTTAAATGTCAGGCCTATCTCCGAGGGTCACCTAGGTTTTTCCTTCCCCTGTGCGTCTGATCTAGAGGTACTGGCCTTCTGGATGGAATGCTTCCTGGGAGCTGGAAGCAGTCTGTACACTCAGCCCCTCCCCTTCTGCAAGCGGTTGGATTACCTCCGATGACCAAATGAGTTTCCCTTCACCTGATTGTAAAATAAATCAAACTTCCAGAATGGAGAGTGAATGTCTTTGGGGCCCAAGGTGTGTAGGACAGAGGGGGAGTACATACAAACCACTTGAGGGTGCTGATAGAGGAGACACACATGCAGGCCCATGCACACATACATGCAAGTGCACACAGACACCACTAGCACTAGCACCCAAGGAAGACCTCTGGCTGCCCCCCCCCCACCCCCAGGCTCAGGGTCTTTCTGGAGGTAGAGTGGTTCTACCTGGCTCAGGACACCGCGGGACGGATCTTGGGATACAGTTGGGGTCGGCTGTGTACAGAATGCCAGTACTCTGGCTGTGTTGCTATCTTTAGGGCTGAGCACAGTCTTTACCCTCCCTGGGGGCTCTGTAGCCCTTCTCATTTTCCAAACTTCCCACTCCTACAGCCAGCCCTGCAGGGCCAAACCCAGAGTTGGCCAGGCCCTTCCTCCCAGCTCCTGTCCTGCGCCTGGCCATGTGTATCCCCTCTGATCATTCCTCTCAAGCCCCCTGAGTCCTGTTCGAAGGTTCTATCAGCCCTACAGATCTTTGATAACCTCCTAGATGTGACCAACTGAGGCACAAGGGAAGAGGACGTGTCACAGTGGACATGGCAAGTGCACTGTGACTCAGAGACATGCTGGGGGGAGCACCCACCTTTCAAAATCACACAGTGAGATCGTGGGCTCCCACCTGCCCACCTCACCCTCCCTCCAGCCTGTGGCCTGCAGTCCCCATCTCCTCCGTACGCATGCTCGCTTCAGGTGCCAGTGTCTGGCACCAACAGCAGGCTCTTGCCAGACCCTTTCCATCCACTCTGCCTGTCAGGCTAGGAATAGGGTAGTACCTGGGCACCAGGCTAAGTGACTCCATCCCAGCTGACCATCCAGCTCAGAAACATTATCCTTGTGGGCCAGCCAAAGAGATGCTGACTCAAAGGTCAGAAGAAGCCAGCATGTAAGGACAGCTGGGAAGCCCCCACAGGTACAGATGCTAGACAAACTTAGGCCTCTGTACTTCCTGCAGCCCCGGCAGAACCCAGGCACTCTCCAGGGCTCCGTGCCCAGGTCCTAGCCAGCAGCATGGGCGGTGCTATGGACTGCAGCAAAATAAAAAAAAGTCCTGGTGCCTGGGGATGCCGGGAAGCAAAGGGGAACTGAGGGCTCACTCTGCGGTTGTTCCCGGTCAAGACCGTGTGTGTGTGTGTGTGTGTGTGTGTGTGTGTGTGTGTGTGTGTGTGTGTACTCATGTAGACATGCAGGAGTGGACAGGATAAAGAAAACCTCATTCAGGTTCAGGAAACCTGATCCTAGAACAAGCCTATTCCTGGAGTCTCATTTTCTTTGAGGCTGTCTTAGGCTCAACACCAAGAGGCAGTTGTGAGCTCCATGTCTTACCAGGGCCTCTAGGGGTCTCTGCATTTCCTCTAAAACCCAGGCATTGGGACTGAGGGCTGCCCAGACCCCTTCAGCCTGGACTCCTCCTCTCACCTCCCAAATTATGGGGTGCCTGTGAGGGTTCTCCCAACTTCCCAGAGACCTCAGCTACTGTGTTCCTAACTCAGGCCAGCAGGAAGACCAGGAAGGAAGCAGGACCCTATGTGCCCAGTGGGCACCCTCAGTGTCCTCCAGCTTCAGCAGACCCAGATTCAGTTCAAGGAGGTGAGACAATCTTTCACAGGGATGCTTGGCCCAGCCGGTCTGGAGGATCCGTATGGGCTTTTGGCTGCCTCTCCTCTTTGTGGGGCTGAGGAGTGGGTCACAGGGAATGGGGCCCAGGACAGGGTAAAGGAGGCCACCAGGAGCAACACCAGGAGCAGGCCCGGCCTTGATCCCTAGGCATTCACGCTCATGGATCAGAACCAGGGGGCCTTCTTAACAAGGAGGACCTGGAAGGCACTTATCCCTCACAGAGCAGCTACAACGGAAGGGAAGCATGGCCCAAACACTCTAGCATTCCAGGTGGACAGGGAATCTGGAATGGGCTTGGGACAGGAACTGCACGGAGGGGCTAATGCTCTCATGGACACCATGTCATCCCAGCCTGTCCCACACCATGGGACACATTGTTCTCAGCCCAGGGAGGGAGGCTAAGGGCTTCTAAGACACAGAAAGCAATCTGGTTTCTCCCTGAGGTGAGGGTTCCCAGTGACTTGGTCTTCCTTTGGCCTTCTTATACTTGAGCATGCAATAAGTCCTTAACCACGTCCCAGTTCTTTTCCTCCTCTGGTCCTCCACAGCAGCTAATGTCTCTGTCTCCTGGTTTGGAGTCAGCTGGCCTATTCCAGGGCTTGCTTTGCACACCTGGGCTGAGAATTTCCCTCCCCACTTCCCCCTTTGTCTGCACATGGTGAGCCTGCTCTGGGATCAGGCTGGAGAATGGCAGATGGGATGCTGCCTGGCAGGAGACACCTCCAGTGTCAACAAGGACAGTAGAGTTGGGGTATGCCCTCCAGTGAACCCCTGCCCTCCATATCTGCAATAGGCAGAATCAGTGTCAGGGACGATGCGCTGGATGTCTTCCCCCAGGAGGCCTCGGGGCCTATCAACTTCACCGTGTTCCTGAACCTATTTGGAGAGAGGCTGAATGGTGACTTCCTGATGCTTCAACAGGAATGGAAGTCCTCGAAAGCCAGATACCTGCATGCTGCTTAAGGGTTACTAGGAAAAACCTAGGCATTTCACAGAAAACTCCATACTTTCCTACCACATGAAGTTTGTCAGCTACCTCGAAGCCACTCAGGGTCCCATACTCAGCTCCCATTATCTGAGCTGTTGGTGGCCTCCAGCTCCTGGAGGACTGGCCCCCTGGCTGGTGATGAAGACAGGGTCTTTCTGGGGCTCAGGTGTGGAAAGGCTTTCCACGCGAAGGACACTGTGAGCAGTGCGTGGTGCCCTGGGGCAGGGTGGGACCCTAAAAGCCTCCTGTGGACAGGCAGACACAGAGGTGGCCATCTTAAACACCTTCAAGATGCCCAACCCAGATGGCAAGGGGAGCATCCGCAGGGAAGAGTGAGTGCCCGTTCACAGAGGGGCTGAGAGGGGCTTAGCTCCGGATCCCACAGTCTGCTCCTTGGTCCTTACCCAGTGCGGGGCCTTGAGACTCTGCCCAGGGACCATAAAAGCCCAGTTCTTAGGGTAGCCCTGCTCATGTGGGCTCAGTAATCGTCCCTCTGGCCACACTGTCTTTTGCCTTCTGGACTCTCGTGTAGAGGGTTCCCCCTTGCTGAGCACTGGCGATAGGGGGTA